TATCTATCTATCTAAAAGAAAAAGATTAAAATTTAAAAAAATAAATAAATAAAAATTCGGCACTTTATGACCTTATTGTGTTGTAAGTGCCGTAAAACGCTTACGAAAACGAAAACTATCTAAAATTAATTTTTGTTTTATTTACTTGCAGGCCTATACTGGCATAGGCCCTCCGGCACAACTCTCAGGATCACTGCCTCAGTCCATCTGCCCCTCTTTTTATTTTCGCCGTTACCCCTAACTGTAACAGAATATTGGGTAAAAGTATACTTTCGCCCACCCTTTTGGAGAGTGCTTGATTTATTACGTACACTCTGTGTCTTCACTCTCCGCGAGGCCATGTGCAGATCACTGTGACATCATTAGTGAACGACGGTTTAAATTAATTTAATATTCTAAGAACTCTGGGGAGGGGGGGGGGCGGGGTCCAAATCTACTTTCACCGTATATTGTATGAAGTGGCCAGAAAAGGGGTTATTTTCGGCGCATGAACTTTTCCCTGTGGAATTATCCAAGTGGGTTCGGAGTAAGCCAACTATGCCAGTGTTATTGAGCTTTTGTAAGGAAAAATCAATTGGAAATCCTGTTCAATACCCGAGGCCATAGGGTCTTCAACAAGCTTTGTACTGAAATGTTTTGTGAACGCGTCGAGAGCAGTTTGACTCAGTTCTTCAATAGGTAACGCTTGGAATAAAATCCTCTTTATGGCAGGCATTTTCTCTTTCTTATCAATTCTGTACCCTTGCACAATATTAAGAAATTATGTGTAGGAAGAGTCTCGCCAGTGAAAGGACGTGGTTCAAAAGGAATATCTCTTTAAGGCTTTTGCCTACAAAAGGCACAGCAAAGCCACTGACAAAAGTACAGATAAAATTATCATAGGAATATGACTGGTTTGGAGTAAAAACACCTCCACATGCCCCCCCCCCCCCCCCACCTTTTCAACCGATATACGTGTATTGCATTATTTTTACTTAGCTCCACCTATCTGGACCTGTCTCCCACAATGTTTGGGAAATACAAAGTCGGAAGCAGAATTAAACATTCATTTAAAAACACACTTAATCATTAATGGAATGAATTCTTGATAGTTAACCCTTCTTAGTCACAGTACTCTTCTGACCAGAATATGATAATCACATCGAGCTTGATTTTTTGCTGTAATGGGGTAAAAGTCTGTTTAACATTTATTGCACTAATCTACAAAGCGTATGTATGCACGTTCATGCTGATATACTTTGTGTTAAGAAGAAGCTGGGCCCCAATGTTGTGTCTTTGGGAAAGGCGCTTTATACGAATTTTCCTCACTACGCTCAAGTTCGAATGGGGACCTATATGCAGACAGTGAAAGATCTTATCAGTTGGTTCGTGTTAATGCTTAATTCACAGCTTGCACTGTGTGGCTCCCGAGAAGCCAAGAATGTCTCTGAGTGTTCTGCTTGGGTAATAATAATTATAGTCGTAAAGCTCATAGAACATGCCGTAGAGCATGGACAAAAATAATATAAATGCAATTGTTATACTTATTTATGAAAAGAACAGCTATTGGAATCTTATTTTCACCATTTTAACTCTACATGTATACTTAATCCTCACAAGATGAACCACGATAGATAATATCACCTCAAGTGTTTTCGTATAGAAATCGACGCTCACAAATATCTTGGCAAGGGGAAAAAACGTCGTTGAAGGAATATTTGTGGATCTTCAATTAGGGGTGGGGGTGGTGTGGAATGGAAACTTGAGGTGGGATGGGAGGGGGTCAAAATAAAAAAAATTGACCACAAGCTAAATAAAGTCAATGCAGAACGTCACGAAGGACAATGCATCATCTAGAATGTTAGAATCAGGGGCGGTTTGTTAACTGGGCAAGACGGGCGGTGCCGGTCAGATTTTTGTCACCTGAACTGTTGACTAGATCTAGAGGTTTATTGCTGATGACGATTTTCATTCAGTTTTAAGTAAATCCAAACAAACATGTATCAACATTCAAAAACACCTTACCGATTTGAAGGCGCTCAAATAGACAAGTGGGATTCACTGCTGTTCTAATTGTCGCGACATTACCTCTTTTCTTCACGTTTGTTATCGCACCGGCTCGTAACTTTAAATCGTCTCCCGTCAAACCGTCACGTCGCGGA